TTTCTTTTGATCTTTGATATAACGAAACGAAAAGCTAAAACAAAAATGAAATGAAATGAAGAAAAGTGTGAGAACTAGCGAACTATCTTTTTTTTTTTTCTACTAACCTATTTCCACGGTCAAAGCAAACAGTAATTTTCGATTGTCGCTTCGTATCTTGAAAAATATAACTTACCAAGTCTACATGTCTTAAGGAATAAAGAATTTCGTGGAAAAATACATGCATATTGGAGCCTGTATTGATTTACAGCTCGTGTATTGAATTACTGCATTTCAGTTCTTCCAGACACGCTATAGGCATTGCAAAACAGTTACGTAACAGAACGCTGTCCTCTCTTTTTCTTTATATAAGATCATCCATGTTTAACATGCATGTGTTTCTACCATTTCAGAAGACTATTCTACTCCATTTATAAATTATCACCACAATAGAGAACGAATCTAACCTCATTTGCTCAGCAAGTACCATCATCGCATGCAGTTCAAGGTTAAACCACGATCTTCGCTATGCCGATATTTATTATTGATGGTTTCCTACTTATTCCAGCCTTCCAAGAAGAGGTGCCAGTCTCACAGCTGCAGACGAAAAAGATTAAAAGGAAGTCTGCTTTTCATGTTGTAAGCTTGGGTTAAATCGACGCAAAAGTCCAAAATTCTTATTTGTTAGTAATTTCATGCATGTCACCAATCCATTTTCTAAATCAATGCATAAATATCCCTCGAACACAGAACTCTAAATTGCTGTACGATTAATGAAAAAAAGGTCAGATACAAACTATTTTCGCCCAAGGGTGAGGAAAAGAGAGGGTGAGGGAGAGAGAGGGAGAAGGAAAGAGAGAGAGAGAGAAGGAAAGAGAATAGAAGGGAGAGAGAGAACGAGAGAGACAGACAGACAGAAAAGGAGAGAGAGAGAGAAGAAAGAGAAAGTGAAAGAGAGAGAGAGAGAGAGAGAGAGAGAGAAGAGAGAGAGGAAAAGAGGAGAGAAAGAAACGAAAAGCACAGGCCTCCACACGCCAAGCAGCAGCAACTACCACTAAAGGTTCATGACTGGGATATTAAATGTCACTCTCAACAACCGAGGCGGGAACACCTGGAGGAGATGACTTCCTATTACAGACCTCATGAGTCGAGGATATGTGTGGAGAGAGAGAGAGAGGAGAGAGAGAGAGAGAGAGAGGAGAGAGAGAGAGAGGAGAGAGAGAGAGAGAGAGAGAGAGAGAGAGAGAGAGATAGAGAGAGAGAGAGAGAGAAGAGAGAGAGAGAGAGAGAGAGAGAGAGAGGAGAGAGAGAGAGAGAGAGAGACAGGGACAGAGAGAAAAGGCGGAAGGAGAGAGAGGGGGAGAGAGACGCAGAAGAAAGAAACAGCCAGAAGGAAAGCTGTGACAAGCAGAGTCTTTGATTGACATGCATCGCGAGTATAAGACCTAATACTGAGAAATATTTGAGAAATGGAGATATATGAATATGTAACACAGGTGGAATATGAAATAAACACTTTCAATTTTAAAATGAAGAAAATCCCAAGAACTCGACAGACAGACAAAGAGGGGTAGCCAATGAAGGAGTTAAATTGATGACTGGATTAATATATTTAACTCTAAACGTCCATATATATAGTTATGATGACTTAAATATCTAACTGAATTATACTAAAATAATGAAATTATCCTTCATTAAAATACAATTGTAAATCATTTACTATCACGCTGAATTATTCATCTTTACTGATGAATATATCTGTTCTATACACACATTATTATGTTAATGAAGAGAAATTCAAACACACACGAGCATAAATATCTACTTTTGAGATAAATAAATTCCAGCCACTGTCATGTTCATGATTATGATTTTCACGAAATTGTGTTTGATTTTATAGTCTGTTTATCTTTAATATGCTTTTTTATCATTACACCCTTGATCAATAAAATAATGATGGTAGACGATTCCACAAGGTAAAAGGGTATTGCATGGTCGTTCCTTATAATTACCATAACTATAATAGCAATTATGCAAAAAAAAGAGAAATATATCTATAAAACACTTACTGAAACATGGCACACAGGATAAAATGAAATAACTAAACACAAACAGCGTATTTACCATGCATTGGACTTCAATTTTTGCAATGTGGAAACTGCGCAATCCAAGCAGTTGCCGATTTAGACACGAATATCTCCAAATACAACCTCCTTACTGTAATATCTCTACCCACAACGACACAACTCCACCAATAATGAAAGACCATCTTATAAACGAAAGCAATTCACTAAAATGACACTAAATTAACTCAGAAGAAAATAAAAAACGTAAATGTACATTCGGAAACCCATTACACGACTAGGGCTCAGCTAGATCACATGTCACACTTAGGGATTTAAACTAGAGGAAAACACACGCTCGCGCAATTTCTCTCTCTCCTTGTCCCTTTTCCGCAAATTATATATCCGGTTTTTGTGTGCCTTGTGCTGCCTTTGTTGGGTGATTTTTGCATAAACTGGTAAGTACAGATTTATTTCGTAAGTTCTTGTGGATTTGCGTGTGACTAGGGTAGATTAAAGTGTGCAAGATTTCGCAAATTCGTGGATGGTATAATCTGTAAGGATTATACATATCCTCTAACCCTTTTATTTACCTTAACATGATCTACCGGGCAAAATACTTAACGCTACATTTATACAGATTTTACAACCGCAAATAGCGAAGGAAATGAACGTAAAGACGAAATTTGAACGCCAGAAAAAGGGACTAAGGACAGGTTAGAGCAAGACCAAGTGACCCGGAGTTTTCGAGGGAGAAAATCGATAACATCTGTGTCAATTAGAAAGCTGATGAAGTGTGCTGATTATTTTGGTCCTTTGCACGTGTGTGTGTGTGTGTGGTGTGGTGGTGGGTATTTGTGGTGGAGTGGTGTGTGTGTGTGTGTGGGGTATTCTGTTGGTGTGTGTGTGTGTTGTGTTATTCTGTTGTGTGTGTGTGTGGTATTCTGTGTGTGTGTGTGTGTGTGGTATTCTGTGTGTGTGTGTGTGGTATTCTGGTGTGGGTGTGGTGTGGTGTGTGTGTGGTTTCTGTGTGTGTGTGTGTGGTGTATTCTGTGTGGTGTGTGTGTGTGTGTGGTATTTGTGTGTGTGTGTGTGGTGTGTGTGTGTGTGTGTGTGTGTGGTGGTGTGTGTTGTATTCTGGTGTGTGTGTGGTATTCTGTGTGTGTGTGGTGTGTGGTATTCTGTGTGTGTGTGTGTGTGTGTGTGTGTGTGGTGTGTGTGTTGTATTCTGTGTGTTGTGTGTGTGGTGTGTGTGTGTGTGTGTGTGTGGTATTCTGTGTGTGTGTGTGTGTGTGGTGGTATTCTTGTGTGTGTGTGTGTGTGTGTGTGTGTGTGTGTGTGTGTGTGTGTGTGTGTGTGTGTGGTATTCTGTGTGTGTGTGGTATTCTGTGTGTGTGTGTGTGTGTGGTATTCTGTGTGTGTGTGTGTGTGTGTATTCTGTGTGTGTGTGTGTGTGTGGTATTCTGTGGTGTATGTGTGGTGGTATTCTGTGTGTAGTGTGGTGTGTATTCTGTGTGTGTGTGTGTTGTATTCCTGTGTGTGTGTGTGTGTGTGTGTGTGTGGTATTCTGTGTGTGTGTGTGTGTGTGGTATTCTGTGTGTGGTGGTGTGTGGTATCTGTGTGGTGTGTGTGTGTGTGTGTGTGTGTGTGTGTGTGTTGTTGGTGTGTGTGTGTGTGGTGTGTGTGTGTGTGGTGGTGTGTGTTTGTGTGTGTGGTATTCTGTGTGTGTGTGTGTGGTGTGTGTGGGTATTCTGTATGTGTGTGTGGTATTATGTATGTGTGTGTGAGTGGTATTTCTGTATGTGTGTGTGTGTGTATTCTGTAATGTGTGTGGTGTGGTATTCTGTATGTGTGGTGTGAGTGGTATTCTGTATGTGTGTGGAGTGGTATTTCTGTATGTGTGTGGTGAGTGGTATTCTGTATGTGTGTGTGAGTGGTATTCTGTATGTGTGTGTGAGTGGTATTCTGTATGTGTGTGTGAGTGGTATTCGTATGTGTGTGGTGAGTGGTATTCTGTATGTGTGTGTGTGGAGTGTATTTGTATGTGTGTGTGAGTGGTATTCTGTATGTTGTGTGTGAGTGTATTCTGTATGTGTGTGTGTGTGGTATTCTGTGGTGTGTGTATTCTGTATGTGTGTGTGAGTGGTATTCTGTAATGTGTGTGTGTGTGTGGTTTCTGTATTGTGGTGTGTGTATCTGTATGTGTGTGTGTGTGTGTATGTGTGTGTGTGTGTGGTATTCTGTATGTGTGTGTGTGTGGTATTCTGTATGTGTGTGTGTGTGGTATTCTGTATGTGTGTGTGTGTGGTATTCTGTATGTGTGTTGTGGTATTCTTTATGTGTTGGTGCGTGTTATTCTGTATGTGTGTGTGCGTGGTTATTCTGTATGTGTGTTGTGTGGTATTCTGTATGTGTGTGTGTGTTATTCTGTATGTGTGTGTGTGTGGTATTCTATATGTGTGGTGTGTGTGGTATTCTATATGTGTGTGTTGTGTGGTGTGTTCTATATGTGTTGTGTGGTGTGTGGTATTCTATATGTGTGTGTGTGTGTTGTGGTATTTCTGTATGTGTGTGTGTGTGTGTATTCTGTATGTGTTGTGTGTGTATTCTGTATGTGTGTGGGTGTGTGGTATTCTGTTATGTGTGTGTGTGTGGGTATTCTGTATGTGTGTGTGTGGTATTCTGTATGTGTGGTGTGTGTGGTATCTTATGTGTGTGTGTGTGGTATTCTGTATGTGTGTGGTGTGTGTGTATGGTGTGTGGTGGTATTCTGTATGTGTGTGTTGTGTGTGGGTATTCTGTATGTGTTGTGGTGTGTTGTGGTATTCTGTATGTTTGTGTGTGGTGTTGGTGATTCTGTAGTGTTTGTGGTGTGGTATTCTGTATGTGTTTTGTGTGTGTTGGTATTCTGTATGTTGTGGTGTGTGTGTATTCTGTATGTTGTGTGTGTGTGTGGTATTCTGTAGTTCTGTTATGGTGTGTGTGTGGTGGTATTTGTATGTGTGTGTGTGTGGTTTCTGTATGTGTGTGTGGTGTGGTATTCTGTATGTGGTGTGGTGTGTGGTTTCTGTATGTGTGTGTGTGTTGTATTCTGTATGTGTGTGGTGGTGTGTGGTATTCTGTATGTGTGTGTGTGTGTGTATTGTGTATGTGTGTGTGTGTGGTATTCTGTTATGGTGTGTGTGTGTGTGTATTCTGATGTGTGTGTTGTGTGGTATTTGTATGTGTGTGGTGTGGGTGGTATTCTGTATGTGTGTGTGTGTTGGTATTCTGTATGTGTGTGGGTGTGTGGTATTCTGTATGTGTGTGTGTGTGTGGTATTCTGTATGTGTGTGGTGTGTGTATTCTGTATGTGTGTTGTGTGTGTGGTATTCTGTATGTGTGTGTGTGTGTTTTGTAGTGGTGTGTGTTGTGGTATCTGTATGTGTTGTGGTGTGTGTATTCTGTGTGGTGTGTGTGTGGTATTCTGTATGTGTGTGTGTGTGTGGTATTCTGTATGTGTGTGTGTGTGTGTGTGGTATTCTGTATGTGTGTGTGTGTGTGTGGTATTCTGTATGTGTGTGTGTGTGTGTGGGTATTCTGTATGTGGTGGTGTGTGTATTCTGTATGGTGTGTGTGTGTGTGTGGTATCTGTTGTGTGTGTTGTGTGTTGTATTCTGTATGTGTGTGTGTGGTGTGTGTGTATTCTGTATGGTGTGGTGTGTGGTGTGGTGGTATTCTGTATGTGTGTGTGTGTGTGTGTGTATTCTGTATGTGTGTGTGTGTGTTGTATTCTGTATGTGTGGTGTTTGTGTGGTATTCTGTATGTGTGTGTGTATGGTGTGTGGTATTCTGTATGTGTGGGTGTATGTGTGTGGTATTCTGTATGTGTGTGTGTCTGTTGTGGTATTTCTGTATGGTGTGTGTGTATGGTGTGTTTCTGTATGGTGTGTGTATGTTGTGGTATTCTGTATGTGGTGTGTGTATGTGTGTGGTATTCTGTATGGGTGTTGTGTATTGGTGTTGGTATTCTGTATGTGTGTGTGTGTATGTTGTGTTATTTCTGTATGTGGGTGTGTGTATGTGGGTGGTATTCTGTATGTGTGTTGGTATGTGTGTGGTATTCTGTATGTGTGTGTGTGTATGTGTGGTATTCTGTATGGTGTGTGTGTAGTGTGGTGGTATTCTGTATTGTGTGTGTGTGTGGTGTGGNGTGTGTGTGTGTGTATCTGTAGTGTGTGTGTGTGTGGTATCTGTATGTGTGTAGTGTGTATCTGTTGTGGTGTGTGTTGGTATTCTGTATGTGTGTGGTGTGGTTTCTGTATGTGTGTGTGTGTGGTATTCTGTATGTGGGTGTGTGGTATGTATGTGTGTGTGTGTGGTATTCTGTATTGTGTGTGCGTGGTATTACTGTAATTGTGTGTGTGTGCGTATTCGTATGTGTGTGTGGTGGTAATCTGTATGTTTGGTGTGGTATTCTGTATGTGTGTGTGTGTGGTATCGTATGTGTGTGTGTGTGGTATCTGTATGGTTTGGTTGGTATTCTGTATTGTGTGGTTGGTATTCTGTATGTGGTGTGGTGTGTGTGTGGTATCTGTATGTGTGTTGTGTGTGTTGTATTCTGTATTGTGTGTGTGTGTGGGTATTCTGTATGTGTGTGTGGTGTGTGGATACTATGTTGTGTGTGGTGTGGTATTCTGTATGTGTGTGTGTGTGTGTGGTATTCTGTATGTGTGTGTGTGTGTGTGGTATTCTGTATGTGGTGGTGGTGTGTATTCTGTACTGTGTGTGGTCGTGTGTGGTATTCTGCTGTAATGTGTGTGTGTGTGTGTGGTATTCGTATGTGTGGTGTGGTGTGGGTTTTCTGTATGTGTGTGTGTGTGTGGTGTGGTTTTTCTGTATGTGTGGTGATGTGTTGTGTGGTAATTCTTATATTGTGTGTGTGTGTGTTGGTATCTGTAATATGTGTGGTGTGTGTGGTGTATTCGATATGTGTGGTGTGTGTTGGTGGTATCTGTAATGTGTGTGTGGTGGTATCTCGTGTGTGTGTGTGTGTGTTTTGTGTGTGGTGTGTGTGTGTTGGTATTCCTGTGTGTGTTGTGTGTGGTGGTGTGGTAATCTTGTATATGTTGTGTGTGGTGTGTGTGGTATTCTGTATATGTGTGTGTGTGTGGGTGTGTGGTATTCTGTATGTGTGTGTGTGTGTGGTATCTCTGTGTGTTGTGTGTGTGTTTGTGTGTTGTGTGTGTGCTGTGGTTCTGTGTGTGTGTGTGTGTGTGTGTGTGGTATTCCTGTGTGGTTGTGTCCCGCTGTGGTGGGTGTGTGTGGTATTCTGTGTTGTGTGTGGTTTGTGTGTGTGTGGTAATTGCTGTGTGTGTGTGTTGTGTGTGTGGTGTGTGGTATTCTGTGGTGTGTGTGTGTGTGTGTGTGTGGTATGTCGTTGTGTGTGTTGTGTGTGTGGTATTCTGTGTGTGTGTGT